CACTGCCCTCCATACCTGCAGCAGGGTCAACAGCAACTCGCGTCATGTAACTGTGCAACAGAAAGCAAGAGTTGTTTAAGTTGCATTACCTTCAGGAATAATTGTTCCCTATCTCCTTCAAAAAAAAGGTTTCAAGGAAGAAGGATATTTTCAACCCACAGTAACAGCTTCTAGCCATTTAGACTACTAAAATTCCCATGTGCTTTAGAGTTTCACTGTGCAGCCATACAGCCTTAGGGGTTATACAGCAATGAATGTACTTAAAGACATGGTCTTTTTTCCCAGACTTTTTTTAATAAACGTGATTTTTTCTTACACTGTGTGATAACAGCATAAACCAACTTATGTTTCTGAGCCCCAGAGCTGTACATTTTCTTCTTTTACTAGCCAGTGAATGATGATGCTTTTTTTTATTTTGCTGCTATGCCACTCTATTACATAAAACATTTTATGTAAATACCATTACCTGTTAAAGCTATTCAGTTAACAGATGAGCTTAAATCAGTGGTCTAAACATATGGTATATGCCTATATATTGCATGTGGATTAGAACATCTAAATGTATATTAGAGATTACATTATCAAAGTGGTCCATCTTTGAAAATTCTCCTTCACTTCTGATTATGAGCTTTTGGTATAATTTGTTTCAAGATTTGTAGTGACTAAGAAATTGGTAATTATTTTTTTTAATAAAACCACATTCCATTTTTCAATCCACTGTTGTTTGGTTCATTTGGTGTTTTTTTCCTGAATAGGCCATAGCCATTTATTTTTTATTTTGTAACAGGAGACCTCAGGCTAGCTGATGGCAAATGTACAAGATCTTGTGGATGTAGCCTTGGAATTGTCCAGTTCAAACACTCCTGAAAATAAATTTTTCACTTAGCATTTGGGTTTTGCCCAGTAGGACAGAACATTATCTTAAGAATTACCCACTGCCAGATCACACAAAGGCCTTCATACAAGTTGTTACAAATTATTTCTTTTTTATATATGCTTTCTTGAACAGAGTCCAAAACCAATATAAAATTGTATGTATGTACACATGCATTCTGCCTAGTTGCAATTTTGTGCCTCTAAAAGGAACTCCTTTCACAGTGCTGCAAGAAGGTGCCAAAAAAAATCCCCCCAAAAAGTTTGTAGTGATTTAGCTAAAGTTTGGAAAACACTTCGCCAGAGCTCACAGAAACAGATTGCAAGAGCAATGAAACTGCTTGTTGAGAAAGTAAAACTAAAAGACTAAAATAAAAATATCACACTCCTCACATAAAACATAGGGGAAAAGAAAAACGGAAGCTTATACCATGTTTAATTATTTTGGTTAGCTCTTTTTTTAACAAATTGAGAACAAAATTACCTCTAATGATAATATCAAGACATTATGAGATCAGAATGGCTGAGCAGTTGATAGTAGAGCAGGAAAAACACAAGTATTTGATTAGAATCTGTTCTGGTTTAGGGAAAAACAGGTTATGTGTTTATAGCAAGAGATGGCAGTTAAATACTTTCCATTCCAGGAATAACTGAAAGAGATGTTAAAGTTGTGAAAGTCTTCTGAGCCAAATGCCTTAACACCATAATTTGAGTTATGTTCGCTTACAGCAGTCCTGAAGCACACAGAACAACATCCCCTGCTTGGCAGTAGGATCCTCACCTGGAAAGAGGGGGCAGAGTCCCAGATTCAAGAGCGTGTGCCTTGTAAAGGTTAGGATTGAAATTTCAACAGAAAAAAAACCCAAAACCCACATACACTGTTATTTTTTCATAAACCAAAGCTGGAACACAGGACTCTTTTTCCCCCTTCCTGTCACAGATCCCACAGCTGTGCATTAAATTCCCCACAAAACTGCATAGGGAGACTAACTGGGTATTTTACTGTAGAGTCTGTGTCTCTGTGCTGAGCACACAGCACACTAACCCCTTTGTAGATCTGCCCCCCTATTAGCATTTGGCAGTGCTGCAGCTGCTCCTGGCGTGCTCCTCTAAGGCTAATGCCTACGTTGCAAGAAAGATGATGATGAAGCACAAGTGAGGACACAAAAAAAAACTATGAAAGTGATGAAAGACTTAGCTAGTGCAAAAGCAGGCAACTCATTTATTTTACTGACAAAAAGGTTATGAGGCAAATTCATGATAGTCTAGAAGTACTCTCATGGGAGAAACAGAAATTGGATACTACTGGGTCTGTCAGCCTACTGGCCAAAAAAAGTGAGATCCAGAAGCTGGATGCCAAGACTAGACAAATTCCTACTAGGAAAGACGAACAAAATTTCAACATGGACAGTCAACAACCATGGAAAAAACATGAAGGCTTCTGGATGCACATCAGCATCATTGCCAATTTTTAAAACCAAGGTGGATTCCCTCTTCCCAAAAGACATGCATAGGTCAAACAGACTAGTTCATGTAACCAGTAGAGAGTTTGCTGAAGGATTCTTTATCCCAGCAGGAGGCTTTTATCTCAATATCTCTAACTGAAACCAACACTGGGTAATCAAGAGCATCCTAAACTTTTCAGCTTTAGTGAAGCCACTTTTTGGATGTAAAATCTTACAGAGGACAACAAAAGGAATGACAAAATCAAGATGGGCTCTGCCAAATCTCAATGCTTCTGAACATCGATTTTTCTCTACTGATAGGCTGAAGCTATGATTAACTTTCAAAATGCTATGAGTTGCTAATCAGAGTCACTGAAAAATGCTGAAAAATTTAAGATGGTCCAGCAGAGGTCTATCGAAAGCATTATATGGCGGGGGAACCTGATATAAGAAAACAAGGCTGAAAGAATGTTTGTTCAGATGAGAGCAGAAAGCTCAGAGAAGATATAATTTAAGTCCTGCAATACATAGACAATAATTATAAAGGAGATACAGGTACTCTTTACAGAAGGATACTTGCTATATATATGAGGTATATATGTTATATCAACTTGAGGTATACCATTGACAAATATTACTTCTCTCTTTTAATGTAATCTATATCTCTAATCTAAGCTCTTATTTGTGGTCTCACTTTTCAAAAGCAAAGAACACAAAACAAACATTTTTTGCTTACACTCCAAAGTATAAACAAAAGTAATCTAAAAGTGTACAGAGGGCAAATGAAATGAAATGAGATAGTGTCAATTAATCCCTTCCACACAGTCGAAAGAATGTAGTGCACTCAGTACTTCCAGTAACTGCCAAGCTATTGGTAACATTTAACACATTCTACAAAGACAGAATACAAAATTGAGAACAACCTGGAAATTAAATACTCTTAACAGATTGCTGAAAGACTTTCACTCTTTCTGAATGAAACCAGAAGTTACAGAAGAGATGAAAGACACTAATTGTACATCACAGACCATAATTTATTTCTTTTGATTCTGTAGACATGAGGTGTCTAAAGATACAACATTTTCTGAAAGTGCTGTTTTAGGTACATCAAATGTGAATAGTCTAGAAAGACAGGCAAGAAAAGTAAATAATTTTTGCAAACAGCAACTTTAACCCAAAATAGTTTTAGAGAAGGAATGACAAACATTAATGCTTTAGCAGTATATCCATGCCCAGAATAAAAGCCACAGGTTGACATAAAACAAAGAGTACCATTCTCCCTGATTTATTCCACTACAAATATCAATAACTGTATTACTGAATTATTAAAATACTACAGTAACTGCAGATTTTGCTTAACATACAGCATAACTTTGCAACCTCCACAAAAAACCAAAACTAATCCAAATCAGCAAGAGAAGAGCAAACCTACTTTTCTCATAATTTAAAATTTCTACAGAGAATTACATCTTAGATCATATTTTGTTTACCAGATTTCAATTTTAATATTCCATAGAACACAGATCTGCAGCTATGTCTGGAAATAAAATGTATTTTCCGGAACAATTTACAAGGCAGGACTTCTGTAAAATCACTGCAATTTCGAATCTATCCTTCGAGGAACAGTATTTTCCAAAGTAAGTCTCAAGTAACTTAAAAGATAAGTAGAAAGTACTATTTGCTTCATTCTTAATGCTATTCACAATAAACAGTATCATGCCTGTCTTTCTTGTTCTAATAATATGCTTATAAAAATGTGTTTACTTTAAGGTTTCAGTAGCATTTTGATGCAAAAGTTAAAATAATTGTTTCCCTAAGATTGCATAACTATATCAAAAAGCCAAACCCAAGTATTTGTTTTTCAAAATGAAATCTAAATGTTTCCTTAAAAATAGAGATTTCTATCAATGACAGCTGGGATTGTCACAATACTACAACTAAAACTGCAATATTTCACCATTTAAAAGACTTTCTGCAAAAGAGTGAGGAAAAACAACTCCTAATATTTGGACTTTTACATATTATTAATCTGCACTATGTCACATAGCAGATTATCAGATTTGAGTTACAATCCAAAACCCAACTGCAAACAATTATGGATTCCCTAAATGTCATGGAGTCTAGAGTCAATCACTGGGCACAAACCGAATGAGGCTGTAAAATTCCTATTAATGGCTGAGAATTACCAAAGGAGGAGAAGACCTACAGCAGACTTGGAGAGGGCAATGTCTTCACAGCAGATCTTTAACCCAGTAGACCTTAGGGTATTCAAAAGGACAGGGATTCTTTTTTTGAATCAAAGATAACACTTTGATGCCTGGATAAAATCCTTGGTCTTGCAAGCTATGTTTTAATAAGATGAGGACAGGAACAAAGTGGTTTACAAAACAGAGGGGTAACGCATCTACCACAATACAGCTACATCACATAGTTTTTCAAGCAAGTAAGTTTTTACATTGGTGAGAGCTACAAGGCTGTAGGTTCTACCATTTAAGTGTGCAATCCAGCAAGACATAACATTACTGACACCTTCATTTTAGCAAGTGAATTACCTCTAAATTAGCAATTCAGAAATGAAGACAGAAATAAATTTATACTCCCCGAGCACCCACTAAGGCACTCCAGGCTCATTTACCAGGCTATTCAGCACACAATTAATCATTAATTCCACAAAGCACCTACCTGCCAAACCAAGTGTTCCTTTACAACAGCTGTACCTGATAGACAGACGCTCAGCACAATCGTATGAGATGCAGAGGTCAAGACGCTGGCAACTATAGCGTCTCTCATGTTGAAGGGCAGCATGGTATACACCACAAAAATAATGAACAAGAAAAATGATACCTGTGCAAGACAGCAAGACAAAAAAAGAAGCATGTCAAATTTACTTTGTAACAACATTAAAAAAATAGCATTTAATTTTGAAGTGTCTTCAGCATAAAGTCACACAACAGTTTTTTACAGTAAAGTTATTCCTAACCACTCCAGAAAATCAATTTAGGAAGAATTCATTTTTAAAAGTGTTGGAAAACTTGCAATAAACTAGATTAAAGAAGTGCAGTTGCAAAATACTATATTATGGTTTCAGACCTACGCAATACTCCAAACTTTTCAAATTTATCTTTTCAAATTTTATTTTTATTAACACCCTGTTTACCATTAAAAAGTAGTTTTCTCAGGACTGGTGGATTCATTACAAAACAACCTGCCAAACCCCTCCATAGAGCCTTGATTTCAATACAGAGAGATTTTGTACATTCTGATGCAATAACAATTCACAATATGTGACATAATGCAAAAAGAAAAAAAAAAGCCCAGGTTCAGCAAAGCATTTTGGCTTAATAAGATTGTATTTCATGTGTTTCTACATGGCCTATGTCAAATTCCATCAAAATACTGCATTTTAAGGAAATACATTTATTTAGTCATGAAAAACATTTTCAGAAAATCACAGCCCACATGCAAAATTTCCAGTTAGCTTCTTTTAAAGAATACTAGTGTCCAAACTAACATTATGGAACAAACTCTCCAAATGCACAGCCCAACCTGTAACAGCAAAAGGGATTCCTCCACTATACATAGAAAATACATATTTGATGGTATGCATATGTTCCAAACTCCACCACACACTTGAGAAAACATAACTAGATTTGGGACACAGGTTTTGTACACATGAGTAGGCAATTCTGAAAATGTGCCAGCTTGTGTATAATTATATCTCCAAGTAAGGTTTTCCATCAGTTTTAGTTGAGTTGCAAGCCTATTCACCATCTAGCAGTTGTACACACATAGTATGTAACTCAGAAAGCTCCCAGGCAGGCATGAGCAATAATAATTTGCTGCTTGCTTCCCTTAGTGTCAGTTTGTTTTCTTCATATCTGCATGTGCTGATTATATAATCAAACCTGAACCCTAAGGTATGTGTACCTACAGGACAATGGAGGCATTCTTTTCCATCATGGAGACAGCTGGATGGAGGAGGAAGTCCACTTCTGTTCTCTACTCAGCTTTCTCCCATTCCTCCTTTAAGATTAATCCAGCTCCTTCCAGATCTCTCATGCTCTTTTCAATGCTGCCTATCCCACATGCTTGAGTTAAAAAGTTCAACGCCATGAAATGAAACAAAACTATGAGGGAAATGAGGGATAATAAGAAAATACAGTAATAAAAAAGGCAAAGCAAAAGCTTTGCTTCTCTACTGTTTCAATCTGCCAGCTGATAGCAAAAGGAAACAAAAGTGTTTGATACCTGTTTGGTTTCAGTTCTTCCTAAAAGTTTTAAGTGATCAGATGTTAGTAAAACCAACAGCAAAGGGTATAAAAATTTGGTCTAGGTAAGAGAAGGGTTAAGCAAGTATGATGATTTAAAATTGTCCTGGCTTCAGAAAAATCAACTGTGATACTGAGAGAACTAACCAGTAGTCTTAAAACTTGGGAAAGATATAGAAAGCTCTGGCAGCTAGAAAAGGAAACAAAACACATGCCTTTGAAAGGCCGGGAAAAGGGATAAAACTTGCCAGCTTACCTTTAACTCCTACAGCAGTACCAGAAAAAATAATAAAACAATTAATAATCAAGATTACTGAAAGTTAAGAAAAACACAGGTAACAGCCAATGTGATTTTGCTGAGAACAAATCATGTTAAAGCAATCACAATAACAGGCATCAGCATAGGGGAAAACCCAAATAATGAATTAGGCAGCAACAAGGGATGTGAAAGGTCTTCTAATATAGGCATAAGAAGAATGGATACTAGAGCCAAAATACCTCACCAGCATGTAAGACCAGCTGCCTAAGACATGTTTCCAGTTAAAGGCCAGGCTGGATGGGGCCCTGAGCAACCTGGTCTAGTGGAAGGTGTCCCTGCCCATTGAGGGGGGCTTGGAAGCGGACTTTAAGTTCTCTTCCTACGTAAATCATTCTATGATTCTATGATTAAAAAATGGTTTGAAGAAGAATCATCCCGGACCCTAGTCCTGGAAGAAGGATTTCAAATGCTCACATTCCTAGGGATTTTTCATGAAAACAAAGTTTTATTATTTCAAGTTTAGCTTTCTCATTGACTACAGGGAAAATGGCATTCAAGTATTTGTGAAAATTTTATTATTAAAACAGAAAAAAATTTCCTTCTCTAACAGTCTTGTCCCCAAAAAATAAAACTGGCAGATATTTTGATATCTGACTTTATAGCCAGACTAAATTATCCACTCCATTTGTGAGGTACTTATTAAAACTCATTAGTGGATATAAGATAGAATATGACACTGTTGTTTTTTTCAATTTTGATATAAAACAGGCTACTAAGCATGGAAAAAAAATCGGCACTTTGTAATGCTTCCAGTGACATCAGCTGTATCAGCTTCAAATTTTTTGTATATCTGTAACCAACTATCCATTCTTTAAATTACCCCACTATTTTCCTTGGTCAAAATAAATGGATAATTTCAACACTCCACAACTACAAACAGAGAGTGCTTTTACAAGGTTCAATTCCCTTGACACTACACTTCAAGTTCTCCATTTCTGAACATCGAACAGGCTGGGTTGCACTGGAACTGTGTTAATGAACACTTGACAAAAAACTGACCCATCAGTTCTTGAAATTTGGGTATCAGAATGCTGTTACAAAGCAGAAGAGCTATAGTCCTGCTAGGACAGAAACTCTCATCCAAAACACATAGCAAACAGCTCCTGCCAATAGCTCTTTGATTCTTGGTTACACTGCTTTTCTCCTAGCATTAGACCACTAATGGTCTAATGACCCAAGAAGTTAAAAGCTCCATTTATCACAGAAGTTGCTTTTTTATTTCACCATGGTTCAAGAATACTTCCCCCTCATAGCCTGAAATAAGATGCTTCTACACTTTATCTTGATAGTAGATATGCATGGTATGTAAGATGTGGGACCTTTCAACATACTTCAAAATGTCAGTGTATTTCAGTTTGAGATCATAGAAGTCAATACTCAAAGGCTTATGAGCAGGTAAAAAGAAGAGACAAGCTTTCTGGACTGAGTCACAGTCTGCAGAATGGTCAGTGGCCCTGACCATTGACCTATTTCATGTAAGGCCCTTTTCATTATCCTTTTGTATGAATTGGCAGAATATTGGTGATAGTAACATGAAAAAGCAGTGATGACAAGCTTCCAAGGACCCCAGTATCTCATTGCAAGACTTACTAATGCTAATGCTCATCACTGGATGCCTGCACTTGGTGTGTGTACCCTCAGTAAACACAGCATTAATTTACAGTGCACAATTTTTGACACTATTAAAAGGAGTCTGTTCCACCAAAGTGTGCCATAATCACAAAGCCTGTTGCTGTTTTGAAACTGTGTTGGAAGCAATCTCTAATGTGAGTCATCACTATGACTGCCTACTTGAAACACACTTTTTGCCCTAATCTGAACTTACATTGCTTTAGGAATTTGATTTTCAGAGATTTCATCTATGAGTTTATGTTATCCATACCTTGGAGATGGGGAGTGCATGGGCATTCATGGTATGCATCATAGCACACAGCATTCCTTTTTAGTTAACATTGGGATAACATCTTACAGAGAAGTATGTGGCTTTCCTGCTTTGATTGAGGGGTATCCAGGACTCTGGTCCATCACTCTTGACTGTCAGAGCTTAGCAAACCCTGAGTGTGTTTGCTGCTCTCCATATTTCTTTCCCATACTTCAGTAGGGCCACATTTTCATCAACTATGTAAGCAGTTCTTTTCCACAGCAATTTAAAGGATGATGCAACTGCCATAGTGGCCATAGCGTAGCTGTGTAGATGGGTATGTAACAGACTACTTTTCTCCAGATTTTGTGTAGCTGCTTTCAGAAGGGCAGCAAAAGTCCTCATACAGACTGAGGTAGTCACACCACTAAGGAGAGTTGGGCACCAAATGGTATAATGACACCATGGTGTGGGATATCAATGATGATCATGAACCCTCAAAAAACCTCATTCTTGTCACAGAATACAACACAAAACTATAAGTAATCATCTTCACACATCATACAAAATGGAAAGACATCAGTTGCACAAGATAGAGAAGAAGATCCTTCTTTAAATCAAACCCATTCTGAGTATTTGTCATGTTGGCAGTTTTGTCCCAGCATCTCTAGATGTATATTTGCTACTGCAGTCTCTGACCTACAGTGTTGACTGTGACCTAGGAGAACTGGTATGAAGTTGATAGTACTTGGTGGTTCACAGACATTGCTGTTGGAAACATCACTAGTTTGGACTGTGACAGCACAAACTGCAGTGGACCCAAGTCATGAATATATGCTGGTTTTGGAGCCCATGGATGCAACCTGTTCTCAGAAACCACGTCCCCCTGTTGTCACCAGTTTCTTCTCTGAGTGGTGTTGCCTTAACTCTGAAGGGTATCTGAAGTAGAAATTTTAACATATTTTACACATTAAAATTGTCTTTCTTAGCACACAGGGTATCACAGTGGATGTTGCTTTTGACACTGAGAACAACTGTACAAAAAGATACTAATCATTCCTTTTGTACAAATTATATTCCAACAACTCACAATTTCCCATCTAGACAGCCTTTTTTAAAACTGTGTTAAGATAGTTAATTGAAACTGGCTTGGCATGTGTAAAATTCACTCAATTTAATGTTACTCTGACCAGAATTTCCCCTTGAGGAGTACAACACTTTGGCACTGAAGCTGGCATGCAAATCTGAATACTCCATTTCAGTATGAGTTAGGGGAAAACACTGCTTTGATCACAGCCAGCAGTAATGCAGCTACAGCTAATAAAATAATTGTAGCTCTTTGGGAGAACTTCAACAGGGCTACATTTTCACTGTGTAACCAGAAAAGACCCTGTTC